AACATGTAGATCATAGTCCCCACATAAGCACTTTAGTTATAAAGAGCCAAGCTTTTCATTAATGTTCTGTCTCAGAGATTTAAGTTTTCAAGCTCATTATTCTCAATTAGCTAGTTACTAAACCCAAAAGGGAAAAGAAAAAAAAAAAGAGCTAAGATGCGACTTCAAATTAATAATTAAGACAAAGAATTTACGTTCGGGAGAAAGCAATGAGTATATGAGCTATGTTTAATTAATAATTCATATTCATAATCAGACAACACAATATGATGTAGAAAGTTTACCGTAAAAATTGAAATGACATTTTCTACGGTTCTTTTTCCTTGACTAAGCGTGTAAATAACCATCTCTTTCCCAATTTCTAATAAGCAACTTCAATGTTTGTGGATCAATGATGTTGCATTGCTCCCAGTCCCATCTACCCCTATTGTACTTTTAACTTTTGGAAACTTGAAGAAGAAAAAAAGAATAAACTAGAAGCAGTAGATAAACCACCATAAAAAAAATTATTACAAGGAGCTTCCTTCCTCTGATAAATTGCTCTTACTTTCAAAACTCTTTATGTTCAACAACTTTTGAATATAATGGATATCTCTAGGCTATAGCTTTCTGCAATTTTTTCCCTCTCCATCTCGATTATGTCTACGACTATATGAACCAAAAAGACGAGGAAAATTAAGCAAATAATCATACAAGCTTAGAAAAATAGGACCTAAGATTCTTTATATTTTATATTTTTATTCTAAAACAGTGTCAATTCCCCACATTGGATGGCATTTTGAAAAACCACGTTCTAAGGTTGCATCATTTGATCATTCATTTTGATTGATAGGGACGTAAAGTTCAGGCGAGTCGATTGGCCATATGTTTGTAAAAAAAGTGAAGACCACACTTGGTTGGGCAAATGGGTTATACCTGACAAGATTGAAGCACCCTACAGTTCATTTCATGTTTCCTCTTATTCAATTATTTGAGACTATACTTTAACTTAATAAGATTTTATCTTGAAACAATCGGTTTAATTAGTAACGTACTACCTATTTTTAAGCTATAGATTATTGTGGTTTCGATGCAAGATTATGCTCATCGCCATTCATGATTTGTATCCAGCCACACAATCCAAACACTCAAAACAAAATAAGGTACAATCACATTACATAGCCACACAAAATTTGGAATTTATTTCGATAAATATAGTAATACTCTTTTCTTTTTTTTAGAGTTGGTTTGTTTAATATAAGAAATGTTATTTGCACTTCAAAATAAGTCTTGGATGGAAGCTTATTATTTTGAAATGCAGATGGTTGCACTCGATCTTCCAATCATGAACGAAATGAGATGAACTTTTGATAACCAAATTCCAAGCCAACTGGGTTTTGAGCAACCTTCCATCATCGCTAGTTGGCCACTTTAACCTGTTCATTGTGCTCACTAGGAAGTACATGATTAAACTACAAGAAAGAAAAAAAAATGCTACCACTACATAATTATAATACATTAAATTCTAGATCAAGATTCAAGTATGATGTATGATATAATTTTTTTAAAAATTCTTTTTTATATGTAGATCAAGATTATATTTAAAATAGGATTCATAAAAAAGGGAAGACAGGTCACCGCACCCAAAAAAAAATGCCACATGGTGTCTCATTAGGATTTTTATAAATAATTTCCTACAAATAATTTAATGCATGGAATCATCTTTTTTTCTTCTTCTTTTTTTATACATAAAATTGTATAAATCTGACATGGAATGGAATCACCTTTCAAGATTAATAATGATTGATGACACTCGAATTACACATAATCACATAATGTACATTACTAAATCGGGATTATTGTGCATGGTCAGCAATGTCTTCGCCTTATACTTTACAGTTTCCGTCTTAGACCAACCCTTCCCCACGTGCACTCGTGGGTTGAATTTGAAGATACCAAATCAAAGAACTTTTGGTCTTTGAGAAGAAAAGGTATTACCAATTTGTTTAATTAAGTTGCTATCCTTGAAAACAAAGAAAAATATCGGTATTATCTATTCAGAATCATTGTCTCGAAATAACGTTTTTTTGCTAGATAATCTGATATGTTATGTTGTTAGATTAGACTACTACTTCAATTTACTCGTAGTCTAATAATGTAACTAATGTGTGACGACTTTCTCCTACCATACTTTGTTAGCTTTGGGATTCCTGTTCAAATTTGGAGCACATAAACTGGGTTGGGAAAGACAAGGAAAATGATGGGAAAGACTTGGTGGTTTGTGGGGAAGCCAATTGGAGAACAATGCGTCCAAGTCCAAGGAAGGTTGCTTCTGGATTTCTCTGAGAAGACTCCAATACAGATTGGTATTGACCCAGTTGAACACGTCTGCTTGACACTATTTTATTTGCAAGAAATACGAAGAAGGAGGTCAATGCATGATTGTGACTTTATGAAATCGTCTTTGACATATAATTTTTTTTCTTTCTCAATCCTTAAAACCCTAGAAATATAAAGAGAGACCAAACACCGTTTTGCTTAATTATTTCGAAGTCTACAAATTAGACATGATTTGACCAAAATGGCCATGTTTTGAAGTGATTTTACTCATACAAAAATACATATATTTTATATTATATAATATTTGGGTTTTGGCTCCCACAGTGACAGAGTCTTTACCTTTTATAGTAGTCTCTGTGAGCAGTTTCTTGTTGTTGCAGAATCAGAATGATTAATTATGAGATTATTATATTTGATTTTTTATAGTATTCTCAACTAGACCACAACTTTTCACCTCCCAATTCCAATTAGGTACAACCAAAATTTGGCAAAATTTTATTCCTCTTCTTCCCCTTGGAAAAGGGTTTTCCTTGTATAGCATATCCAGCATGCATATGCAATGCAAGCATTTATAGTAAGGAATTATAAACATTCTGATGGAAACTTTTGTCAGGGGGGGTTTTGAATTTAAAAAGGAAAAAAAAAACCAAAAAAAGAAGATTCTTCTAAGTGAAGAAGATTATTAGATGGAAAACAGATTTTTAGGAAAGGATTAAAAGGAAAAACAAGGATAAATTTTTATAAGTTCCGGGTACATCAGATGTGCACATAGGATGTGTGAAATTATTCTCAACTTATTGCATATTGTTTTTTATGACATGTGGTTGGCTGTATCTGAAATATTCCACAGATCCTACGTCTATTGGATGGTGCACTAACCATGCGATTACAACAAAAGTTACACGAAAAACAAGACATAAAAAGAAAATTTAAGCTTTAGAATCTATTTACATTTGATAGTAAACGAAAGTTAACACAACACAAAAACTACCCTCTTGAAGTCTCAACCACCACACTCTTTTGGAAATGAAATCCAAGTCCTCCTGATCTTTGAGAGGGACATAACATTCAAAATAGAAGCATCATATACTCTCCCTTAACAATTATGAAATCTTAGTAAAGTGCTAGTTTATGTACTTTTTGTGGACATTACTAAACACATCTAAACACAATTAATCTTTTAATTTAGTTCTAAATACAAGTACTGTTTATCAAGTACCACAAGGTCATTGAATTTGGAAAAAAGATGATTAAAAAAAAGAGGGAAATTGTTGCTGGTTAGACACTGGCTTGCAAATTGGGTTCTCTTTTGGAGTGCTGAGTTTTGGTTATTTGTTACTTTGACACATTGGTACAAAGCACAAGGTTTCATGAGCCTTGAATTAAATTGGAATTCATTGTTTTATGGTCCCAGTCTTCTTTTCACCTTTAGCTAACCTTCCTAGCCTAGCCTTTTGTGTGAACGATGCTGCTATCTCTGCGATGCCAACCCAGCTCACAATTTTATTTTTATTCACTTTTTCTTTCTTCTCTGTTTCTTTACCTCTTTCAGGCTATCTCCATTAATTTATGAGTTGTAAGTGTATATAGGACTGTATTTCACACATTTGGTAACACTCTTTCAACCCACTAATCTATACGAAAATAATAAAGTGCGGACTGTGGACTGTGAGAGGCTGGACGATCGGCTATCTCACAGCCCGTTATTGTAGATGTCCGCTCCTGAACCGGCCTCCTAAATAGCATGTTATTCCAAGAGGCAGTCATGCAATTCTTATGCAGATCTCATTTAAATAAAAAGTACGTATCACAAAAATTGTGTCATGACAACCTAATCTGAAGGATTTGGAAACAAATGGCCAGTTAATTATAAAGAAAGAAGAAAACAACGGCCAGATGATTCAACTAGTAATGGCCTAATTTGTAACTGAAAAATTAGTCCAACAAACGGTATCCCAAAATTATATGAAATTATTAAGATTAATCAGAATTAAATTTGCACAATTTAATAGAGGGTTTATGACTGCATTTGAACGTTGCCAGAAGCAACACTAGGGCCGTCTAAAACTGTAAAAAAAAATTCAAGTCCACGGTAAAAACTCCGGTCAATGATTACGTCAATTGAACAGAAAGAGAAACCTGCAGGATGAACTACAAGGGTATTTCTGGAATAGTACCGGCGAGAAAATGTAGAGGCTGCAGCGTCAAACTTTCCGTCAAACCAAACACCCCATACAAGTCTCGTTTTGTCTCTCAGTCTTTGTAGCTTTTGGTCCAAGTCTGAGCTCCCAGAAATAGAATATTTTTAGAGACCTTTCCCAAACCCAAACCCAAACCTCCAAACCACAACCTTCCCAAATTTGAATTTTTTTATTATAAATTTTTAATTTTTATATACTATCGATATGATTCGAACACAGAATCTCCGATCCAGAGTAACTATTGTTAAAAACTTGAGTTAGAAACTCCTTGCTTTCCCGATTTCAAATTAGAACTGGGAATTTCCAATTATGTGCTTCTCTAACCATAAACCATCTGAAACTTTAGGAAACCCTCGTCTCAATCTTCAACTAATCTGGTTGTTACCCAAATTAAAAATTTTAAACTAAAAGATATTGCCTAAAAAGTACACCCATAAAATATATAAAAATACTAAAAAAATAGTTTTTAAACTGATACACACCGACGCACAATGCCACCATACATAGCCTCTCACTCAATTTCTCTCACATAAACACAAACACACTGTTCACTCTCTCTCTCTCTCTCTCTCTCTCTCTTTGCTTTCTGTGTCTCTCTGCTACAAGCCGACGACAAACTCCGCGCTGGCAAAGATTCCCTTCTCCCCTCCTTTGTCCTCCTTTTTCCCTTTTCCTTTTCTCTTATCTTCCTCCGCACAAACCCTAAGCTCTGAAATTTTCCCGAGAAACAAACAGGCAAACCCAACAACTATCAGAGAATCCCAATCCCACCGTCATGTTTCAGCTGATCTCGCCTTAACCCAACACGTCTCTTTCCCCATACACTCTTAAAGTTGTCTTCTTTTTCGAGCCTGATGGGCTGCACGAGCTCCAAACTTGACGATCTTCCGGCCGTGGCTTTATGCCGAGAGCGCTGCGGCTACCTCGACGAGGCGATTCACCAGCGCTATGCTCTGGCAGAAGCCCACTTCGCTTATATTCACTCCCTCAGAGACATCGGCCACTCTCTGCATAAATTCATCGAACAGGAGGTGGGCAATTCATCTGGGTCACCTCCTTCTCCCCACCTCAACCTCCCTCCTGTCCGAAAAGGGGGCACCAAATCGTCGCCGCCGCACCACTCTCATTCAAATTCAGGCTCCCATCTTCACTTTCACTCCGATTCCGACGACGACGACTTGGGCTCGCTCCACCACTCGGACCACTCGTCGCCGCTGCACAATACTCACCCTGGCAGCCATATTGATTACATAAGCAACGGCCAGGAGGGTTTCCAGGAGGGTTTTAGCTCGTACCCAGATGGGTACATGCGCATGAATTACATGAGGAACAAAGCGACACCGTCTGTGGTGTATCAGCAGAAACCCATGAGCCCAGAGAACGTGTATCACATGGGTGAATCTTCTTCTTCTTCAAATTCGTATTATGGATATCCTAATTCAAATCCTAATCCGAACAACACTGCTAATCCTTACCCCTATTATGGTGGGTACAACAATTACGGTGGCGGGGGTGGGGGGTATTATGGTAATTCATCTCCGCCGCCGCCTTACGGAGCCATATCGTCGTCGCCGGCTTCGGCTTCCACCTCTGCGAAGCCGCCTCCGCCTCCGCCATCGCCGCCGAGAGCTTCGGCTTGGGAGTTTTTGAACCCGTTCGAGACTTACGATAAGTACTACTCGGCCTACACGCCGAGCCGAGACTCGAAGGAAGTGAGAGACGAAGAGGGAATTCCCGATTTGGAAGACGAAGAGTACCAGCAGGAGGTGGTGAAGGAGGTGCAGAGAGATCACAAGCATGTGGTCGATGGCGGGAAGCATTCCAAGGCTGTTGTGGACGATGAGTTAGCTGAAACGCAGCCTTCCTCGCTTTATCAAGCGAGGCCGAGCGTGGAGACCGATGGTGGTGGGGCTGAGTATGAGGTCCATGTGGTGGAGAAGAAGGTTGTGGATGAGGACGAGAGGCGCGAGGACCGTGGCAATGGCGGCGGTGCACCTAAAGTTCGACCGGGGTCTCGGGATGCTTTTGAAGTAGCTCGAGAGATTGAGGTTCAGTTTCAGAGAGCTTCCGAGTCCGGGAACGAAATTGCCAAGATGCTCGAGGTGGGAAGGCTTCCACATAATCGAAAACATGGTGGGTATGGGATTATACACCTTTTAATGGATAGATTGCTACAAATTTGCTTGCTTGAATCTTGATCTATCTGGGAAGTTTTAAACTTTTATGCTTTTGGTGTGTAGTAGTTTTAGTTTCCTAAAATGGGAAGTTTATAGATCAGGATTTTATGTTGTTGAATTTGAACTCTATTTAGCAGAGATTTGACTTTTGTGTTGTGTGGGTCTTTATGATCAGTTTCTTCCAAGATGATGTCGTTAGTGTCTTCGCAACCTTCTACTTCAAAGAGTGCTGAGCCATCGGCCTCTGAAATAGCTGGTCCTGCTCAATTGGGGTTTGATGAAGAAATGATGATGAGGTCCAAAAATCTCTCTTCTACCTTAGCCAAGCTGTATCTTTGGGAGAAGAAACTCTATAATGAAGTAAAGGTATGTTGCTTCCTCCGTTCCTGTTACTAGCTGCATGTTTATTTGCTCATTTTTGTGGCGTTGAAATTTCTGAGCCATCTGGGTTTCTTAACAAATCAAATTTTTTTAATTATGCTGCGCCAGACAAATGTTTCTTGACCGTTTGTTCAAATGTATTTTACTTTCCTTTTTCATAATAAATCTCTTACTTTCTATTTTGGTTGAATGTGAAATTTCAAATATTTAATTTCTTTCACCCCTTCGATCTAGATCTCTATGAAAGCATCTTCTTTATTTGAAGTCTGACCAGTGCATGTTTGCCTTCAGAAGAGACTCTTTATTGATATTTTGATGTTCTCTCAGACATACATCATGATTCACTGGCTAAAACTTGGCTAATCTGTATCCAACATGGGTCTATTTGAATAAGTAACAGAAAAGTTTTCTTTTTTATTCAAGCATTAACCATTACATGAGTTTGACTAGTTCTTTTGGTGACGTACTCTTGCCTTGCTTACTATCCTAAAGTTTAAAGCACTGGGCGTATTCAAGTTTTTTGCCCTTCCTAATTTGTGTCTTTGTCAGTTGTGACTGATGGGTTTCCATTCTTATAATTTTTCAGTCTGAGGAAAAGATGCGGGTAATCCATGACAGAAAGGTCCGTAAGCTTAAACGTTTAGATGAAAAGGGAGCGGAGGCTCACAAAGTTGATACAACTCGAACTTTAATAAGGAGTCTGTCCACAAAAATCAGAATTGCAATTCAAGTTGTTGACAAAATATCTGTGACCATAAATAAGATTAGGGATGAAGAATTATGGCCACAACTGAATGAATTAATTCAAGGGTATGTTATCAATCTTCCCAGTTCTGCAGCGCTTGTTTGCAAGTTTTGTTATTTGTTTCACTCACAACCCACGCTATTAACAGTTTCTCTTCTTTAGTATATTTGTATGGGGTTTTAGCTTAAAATTTCAGGCTGTTTTTATTTTATTTTATTTTATTTTTAATTTGAGTTCTTTTCTGGATACTGTTTTTTGTTCATATGATTACTTTTCATTGTCATTGACCACATATCTTGTGCTAAGCTTAGATATAACTTATAACTAATAATTTCAAATTCGAAATTTCATAATCAATTTTATTGATATCATGATGTTACAGGTAATGTGATCTCTTAATCTTTTTAATGGACCTTTTTATTTGCTAATCCCGATTTACCCAAAAACAGTCAGCTCCATGGAATTGGTGAGGTCCATTGGTATTCCTTCTTGTATTTGTTGTGCTAGATTTCTTCAAGACTAAGAATGGCACGTGACTAATAAGTATTAGGCTTGGTGACTGAAAAATAGAAGTAATTACGCTAGAAGGAGCCTGGGGAAAATTAGAAGAAGGGAAAAAGCAAGATCACAATTTCCTTATAATATTTGTCAGTTGGTGTATCACATTTGAGATCCTCATGTAGGGCTTCCTAAAACCCTTGTGACAAATCTAAAATTATATAACTTGTACCAAAAATATGAAATTGGGTACGTCTCATATTGGAAGTTTTTACTTCATATAGTGGTGTCTTAAAGAACACCTACCTTAATAGAAGGCTCCTAATAAGACTACAAGTACTTATAGTAATCCATGAACCTCATTTTGCAACAGGGAAGATTGGCTAGGTGATGGCGATATTGGGGAGGCTTATATTTATTATTTATGCTTTTATTTTCTCAATGATCGGTCACTTGGAAGTGTATACTTTGTGGACGACATAGTGTATGTCATCTGTGTGACATTATGGTTAATTATTTTTCCTTTTCTTTTGTTCAGGTTAACCCGGATGTGGAAATGCATGCTTGATTGTCATCGTACTCAGTGCCAAGTGATTAGAGAAGCCAGAGGTTTAGGTCCTATAGGATCTGGAAAAAGGCATGATGATGCTCATCTTGATGCTACATCGCAGCTTGAGCATGAGCTTATTAACTGGACTTTCAGATTCTCTACTTGGATTAGTGCTCAAAAGGGTTATGTGAGAGCTTTGAACAATTGGCTTCTAAAATGTCTTCTGTATGAACCTGAAGAAACACCAGATGGAATAGTTCCTTTTTCACCTGGTAGGATAGGTGCGCCTCCTGTCTTTGTGATCTGTAACCAATGGTCACAAGCTTTGGAGAGAATATCAGAAAGAGAGGTGGTTGAAACTATGCGTGTCTTCACCACGAGTGTCTTACAGGTTTGGGAACAAGATAAGCTTGAAATGCGCCAGAGGATGGTAGCACACAAGGATCTAGAGAAAAAAGTTAAGAACTTGGATAGAAAGGACCAAAAATTACAGAAGGAAATTCAGGCACTAGACAAGAAAATTGTGCTAGTATCAGGGGATGTTGACACTCTCTCAGTTACTGGACAGATTGTATATCAGAGTGACACTAGAAATAGTACTTTACAGGCTAGTCTGCAACGCATTTTTGAGGCCATGGAAAAGTTCACCGATAACTCCACAAAAGCTTATGAGGAGCTTTTGCAACGTAACGAAGAAGATAGGCTTGCGAGAGAGCAAGAGAGGGTTTCATAGGGTCTGTTGTTAGATGGAGTTATAACTATCCCTTTTGCATTGATGACTTGGTTTATTATCTGCACTTTCAGCTGTCAAGGCGAATGAATGGAAGCTCTCTAGTTCTTTGAGGGTCGATTACCATAGAGTTCAAGAATTTATTCCTTGGAGCAAGCTTTTCCTCCATCTGTTGGCTGCCATTTCATTGTCTGCTAGGCTAGTTATTGTTGCTGAGAGAAGACTAATCAGGATCATCTGTAATAGCTCAGCAGTAAGCCATGCTTGAGGCTTCCAATTACAGTGCAAGATATTTATCTGGGCTGGCTCTGCAGTTTTAATTTAAGGAGACAACCAGTACAGTTGATTGACGACAACAGCTGAATATTTATACAAGCAAAGACAATGAACAACAATGCACACGAGCAAAGGCGAGGGGCAACCACAAGATAAGTTATTGCTGATTATGAATCAACTTGGTCCACTGCCTGACAACAGAAATGATTTTAAAGCTGCTTCTGGCCGAAGTGTTCGCTGAATCGATGATTGCTCGTAGAATCACATTATGAACAACTCTTACCGCTCCGTGAATCAGCGAGATCTACTTTCTATGGAGTGGGGCTCCTTTCTTGAGCTAAATATTGCAATTTAGCAGCATATGAGAGAGACATGGAAAGAAGGGCAAGAAGAGAGCTACTTTCACAAATCATAAAGTACCAAGACTTTGCACAAGTCGGCCAAAATAATTCAAGTAAGCGGCTGTCCTTTTCAGTTTTGTGATGATGATGAGTTTCAGTGTATTCTGTATGGGGTGCTTGGAGTGACGCAAGTCCTGTCTCTATGGCCAAAAATAATTGGATATTTGTATAAAATTTATTCTTTCCTTGTTCTTTCTTTTTCAGTATTTCATTTATATCAATTATTGTACAGACAACCTTTGGCAATTGAACAAAGTGACAGCACCTTAAATAAGAAAATGAACCAAACAAAAGTTCTGTTAAACGGCGACGTTTCATGGAGTGTTTGAATGTGGATGTAAAGTGAAAAGCTGTGAAGTGAAGTGTGAAATGTGACTTTAGTCTCTTCAATTATTGAGGTTTACATCCTGTATACTCTGTAGAGCAAAAACTACGTTTGGATTTTGGAATATATATATATTTTAATGTTTATGATTAGGTCACTTTGATTCCAGCAGTCATGCTTCCGTGATTCAGCAGAAAACTGTGAAAAAAACCTTTGAACCGACTGAACTTTGAGAGTTGACAAAATTCATTGCTTCTTGACAGTTGAATGGAATTCACTTTCTTGGGTTTTTATATGTGTTGAAAAGTCCAAAAGATATCATGCCAAGCCCAATTCAGTTAAACACGTTTGTGTTGATCTCTGAATGGGGATGCGTCTATAAGCTTATGATTCGTCTTCATCCAATAACGCATGACTTTGCCCCAAAAGTCCCATCTATTGGTCCATAGTCCACACGACATTAGGCAGCCATCTTAGGGTGCCTCTTTCCTTCAAATGACAACCATTGGTTGGCCGTTTGACCATTTTTACATAAACATTGAAGAGTATTATGATCAATCGGTCATGCCTTAATATCGCTCATTAAAGAATGTTAAGTTTAGTCGCTTACGCTTTAATGTTGCTTTTACAATGTTATGGTCAATGAATCATGACTCTTAGAATGTTATAGCAAAACAATACTATTCTCGTTGCAAATAAGTTTTTCTGCTTATCATGGCTCATTAAAGAATGCTAAAGCTTACACTTTAACATTGCTTTTACAATGTTATGGTCAATGGATATAAAACATTAAAGAATGCTACTGTCACTCGCTCACGCTAAATATTGCTCTCATAACTTTAAATGTTATGATTAGTCACTCATACTTTATCACTGTTCTTATAATATTATGGTCAATTGCTCATGCAACATTTTTTGTTATTTTGTCCTCTACAAATTGTAAAAAAAGCTAGGCTAAAATCACACTTCCCAATTCCAAATCACCATATGAAATATAAAATGGGTTTTGTACAAGTAGAGAGTATGAGAATAAAAGTTGTGACTATCATGGGTAAATAACAATTTTTTATAATTCTTCGATTGCCAGACTTATTCTCTTTTTGCGAGTGGAATTAAAAGCAATGGACGAATGGGAATTGGGAACCAACAACTACCACTCCAACCAGTCTTTTTCTCAATTTCACCAGGTCTTGAAAAATATTCATTTTCATCATCCACCAAACAAATGATTGACATATTTTCACTCTATTTTTTTTTCCTCCTCTTTGGTATCTGTGCAGAATCTGTAGATAGATTTGATTTGGCTACAAACTTTGCTGGCAGTCTTGAGTTTCCACCCAATGAGTTAAAATTACGTGCATTATAATCAGCATTTTTATGATAACCAAGGATTTATTTATTTATTGTTTTTTTGGGGTACATTTAATCAAGACCAAGCCTATGTCGCACGCTCGTCCCGTGACACTATGCTGGCAAAACTCACAATGTTGGTGATACCAAACAAAAAAAGCCAACATGGTTGAGTCGAGTAGAAAAGGGCATTGACTTGCACACGAGTGGTCTCAAATTCGTACTATCATAACATTTTGACAGTGTGAGAAATCCCTCTCTCTTTATAGTTTAGACTATCGTATGTATTAAAAAAATTGAAAAAAAAGACGTCGGTTGTGATTTCGAACTTTTTGGGCTGGCAAAACTCACAATCTTGGTGATACCAAATGAAAAAAGCCAACATGGTTGAGTCGAGTAGAAAAGGGCATTGACTTGCACACAAGTGGTCTCAAATTCGTACTATCATAACATTTTGACAGTGTGAGAAATTCCTCTCTCTTTATAGTTTAGACTATCGTATGTATTAAAAAAATTGAAAAAAAAGACGTCGGTTGTGATTTCGAACTTTTTGGCATAACATTATTGAATGGTACCTGCGTACAATGAATGAATGCAACTGTTAAAACACAGTAAGTGGCATATAATGATTTGTCTCCACAAAGAAAAATTGGACCTTTATGAGAAGAGAATATATGCTTTTTTAATTGGATAGGCCACACTTAAAAAAAGTTAATACACATCAAGATTATATGCATTAAAGAAAATAAAATGCAACAACCAAACAAGTTCTGGTATCTTGTCATGATGAAGTACTACAAGGAAAGCTAAAGAACAAGACAACTTAAGTACTGGGAAAAATCAGTTGGCTTTTCTTATACAAATCAATCCGTAGGTCAATTATGATGCAAAATAACAGGTCATGAGATTCTGTGTTTGTTCCAAACACATACTATTATAAAAAGGGAGAAACTGAGGAAGAAGGGTTTGCTTTGATTCTGCAATCTGCCTGTTTACTGTGTGTGTGCCTTATATTTTATTTTGTGGTCAACTGCACCAGGAAACTTGGTATTTGTTTAACCATGTTTTCTTCTGTCTTTACTTTGTGATGATAATAAACTACCCCAGTTGAGCATAATTTAATTGAAAGCATAAACCTTCCAAATCTAATTTCAAAGGGGAAATTCTTGTGGGGTTTAAGGAAAAGAGAAGCAAAAAGTAAGGATTGTGTAGCACAAGTAGGTTAAGAGCATTTATTTTCGCATCCGAGCTTATCTATTCGTTTCTTCTTTTGGTCAATATTACACGTATGAAATGCGTAGAGAAAAATTATATATAAAAATACACATATAGATAGATGACAGAATCTTATAATCCTAAATAGAATTTCACAAACTAATGATATTAATGTGATAAAACTTGATAAATTACCAACATTTAGGAAAAGAATTGTTCGGACAAGATTAGTACTAAAATGGTGATGATTGATGTGAAACGAGATACGTGTTGCATTCCTATCTTTTTTTCTTCTTTTTGTCAAAAAAGGAACTGATGAAATTCTTTTGCTTGTAGGAAAATTGAAAACCAAATGACCAAAAGTGTTTAGTGGAAAAATGGAAAGAAATAAAAGAAGGTTAACTAATAAAACTGTAGCAACTAGAAATGCTTTAATTACCATAAGCTAAACCTTTAGCATTAAACTGCCAGGAAGCTGTGACAGAGAGAGCACATACAAAACTGTCTCCTCTCTCTCTCTCTCTCTCTCTCTCTCTCTTCAAGTCTCTCTTAACCCACTAGACACTCAAGCTGAGGAGGCAGCCAGGAACCAGCTCATGGTTTTCCTCTAGTTTTTTCTTCTTCCAACTCCAAGAAGCTGCTGAAGCACACAAACACACAAACCAAGTCATGGGTTGCTGTGAATCAAAGGTTTCAGAGAAGCAACCAGAGAAGCTCCAAACCCAAGCACATGCCAACAACAGCCGGACTCCGACCCACCACCCGAACCCATCTCCCGGATCCGACCCGGAAACCGGCGGAGCTCCACCCTTCTCCGAATTCTCCTTCTCGGACCTCACAGCCGCCACCAACAACTTCAGCTCCGACTTCATAGTCTCAGAGAGCGGTGAGAAAGCCCCTAACCTTGTCTACAAAGGGCGGCTGCAGAACCGCCGTTGGATCGCCGTCAAGAAGTTCACCAAGATCGCTTGGCCTGATCCCAAGCAGTTTGCGGTAAGCTTGTTTATGCTTTTGGCTTCATTGGGTTTGGGACTTTTGGTCGTTTTGGTGGTTTTCAATCGTTTTGTGAAGTGGGTATGTGAAATACTTTGTGGGTTTTTAAATTTCTGGGCTTTTGCTTTTGTAGGAGGAAGCTTGGGGTGTTGGGAAGCTGAGGCATCGGAGGCTTGCGAATTTAATTGGGTATTGCTGTGATGGTGATGAGAGGCTGCTTGTTGCTGAGTACATGCCTACTGATACTTTAGCTAAGCATTTGTTTCATTGTATGTGTCAACACCTTTCTTTTCCTTTTTTTCCCCCCACTTTATACTTTAACTGGTGTATCAAGAATGCTGCTTTTTAGCTTAGCTTCTAAGATTTCTCAGTGACACTTTTGTGAAGTATCTCTAAGTACATAGTTCTGAAACAATCAAACATTGAAATGTAAGATTGCATTGACATTAGTTTTCTACAACATGACAAGTTATGCCATTTATCTTAGCTGGTCTATTTATGCATGTTGTTATCTAGTAGTTTTGCTAATCCTAGATGATGTTTTATATTGCCTTTCATTTGGGGAAGGTGCGGCGAGGTGGTTTTTGCTATAGTATTCTATTTAATGTGACTGTATTGTGCTTGTCTTCGTACTGTTAATTTCCTGAGTTTTGCATAGGAGATCAATTTTACTTTTGGGTTTTGTACCTCCAAATTGAGAAATTAGTGGCTGCATTCTGTTATATCTAAGATTAAAATTTTGGTCTCGGCTTGTTCTTGACAGGGGAGAATCAAACCATTGAGTGGGCTATGCGTTTAAGAGTGGGTCTTTATATTGCTGAAGCTTTAGATTATTGTAGTACTGAGGGCCGTCCATTATACCACGATTTGAATGCTTATAGGGTTCTCTTTGACGAGGTATTCCTTTCTCAAATTTGATTCTCATAGTTGAAAATATATGTATTTTCAGTTACTTCAGTGTCCATTAATATTAAGGGTGATATTCTAGTATTTGAATGTGACCTGTAGGATGGTGATCCTCGTCTTTCCTGTTTTGGCTTGATGAGAAATAGTAGGGATGGGAAGAGTTATAGCACGAATCTTGCCTACACGCCGCCTGAGTATTTAAGAAATGGTAATAACATCTCTAGTCTAAATATCACCTATCTGTTTGATCATTGTCTAGTTAGTATTGTAGTTTTCCTATCTAAAGGAATTTTCCTGCATGAGATATGCCTTCAG